ATCATTTACAAAGGGGAGTCCGTGGCACCCTTGTCTCTTCTTCTTATTTATTTTATTTTGTATATCGTTTTTTTTTTGGATTATTATTATTATTATATATTATATTATATTATATTATATTATATTATATTATATTATATTATATTATATTATATATTATATATTATTATTATTATTATTATTATTATTATTATTATTATTATTATTATTATTTATTTGATTGTTGATAAATTCTCCAAAATTTTAACCAATTCGTCATTTTAACTCAGTGATTTGCTCCAAATGGCTAAAAATTAATACAACACATACATTTTGTGTTAATCTTTCACAACCCCATTAATAATAAATAAACAAATAATAAATAAATAAATAAAAACTAAAATAAGAAGACAGAGTTGAGGCTTCTTAAATAAGAACCTTTTGACATCTCAATACTTGCCCACATTGATGGGCAAGAAATTATGTTTGTAAGGGGATCATTGCTCCTCTTATATAGAGGAGCTCTCTTTTTTCAAACATTTTCAATGTGAGATAAAAATTATCTCAAAATCATTTACAAAGGGAGCCCGTGACTCCCCTTTGTTTTTTTTTGTTTTTAATTTTAATTTTATTTTGTATATAGTTTTGTTTGGATTATTATTATTGTTGTTGTTGTTGTTATTGTAATTTGATTATTTGGCAAATTTGTCAAAATTTTAAGAAATTCGTCTGTTTAACATTTTATAATTTATCAAAACACCAAAAATATTATTTAATAACTTAACAATTTGCTCGAAACTGCTAAAAACTAAAACAACTCATAGACATTTTTGGTTAATCTTTCCCAAATCCCCTAAAATTAAAAAAAGAAAATTAAAAAAATAATTAAGAATCCATTAAGATAAGTTTTTTTAAATAAGAGCCATTTGACACGTTGGGTTTTAATAGGTTGTGGAACCGTGTCCACCTTGCAAGGTGGACACAGTTCTATGTTCATAAATACTGCACTATAAGTTCATTATTATAAAGCTATATATTCATAATCTTTGAACTTCATATTCATAATTATTGAACTCTATATTCATAATTACAGAACTCTATGTTCATAGTTATTGAATTATATGTTCATAATTATTATTATAAAGATATATATTCATAATTTTTAACTTCATATTCACAATTATTGAATCTCTATATTAATAATTAGATAAATATGTGTTCATATTTTTTTTCACAACACTATGTTCATAATTATAGAACTATATGTTCATAATTTTTGAACTATATATTGATTATTATATTCATAATTATGAACTATTTTTGAACCATGTCTACCATGCAAGGTGGACACAGTTCCACAGCATAATTTGTCGATCAATAGTAGTACTATAAAAATCCTTTGGACTTCTCAATACTTGCCCACATTGATGGGCAAGCGATTGTATGGTTGTAAGAGGAGCATTGCTTCTCTTATATAGAGGAGATCAAGAGTTCCCCTTTCCAAACATTTTCAATGTGGGATCAAAATGATCCCACATCATTTACTAAGGGGAGCCACCTTTGTCTTCTAATTATTTTTTTTTAAAATTTTAATTTTATTTTGTATATAGTTTTGTTTGGATTATTATTATTATTATTATTATTATTATTATTATTATTATTATTATTATTGTTGTTGTTGTTGTTGTTGTTGTTGTTGTTGTTGTTGTTGTTTTTATAATTTTAATTTTATTTTATACTTGAACAATAATATTTTTATTATACTTGAACAATAATATTATCAATTATATTATATTATAGAATATAATACCATATATAATATTAACAATTAATAGATTTTATTTAGTTTCCATTTGACAATTACTTACCAAATAAGTTTTACTATAAAAGTTTTGGGGGAAAAATTTGTTAGAAGGATTTTACTTTTATATATACTAGTATTTTCGCCCGTGCGATGCACGGGATAGATTTGTTATAATATATTAAAAATATTTAGATTGATATATAATTATTTAAATTAGAACATTAAATATTATACAGTGCAATGGAAGATATGTTTTGAATTATTTATGTGTTTTGATGTTATCATTGTTTGAATTTGAGCAAAATAATTGCTCAAATTAATAGCTTATGTGTAAATGTACGCATGCGATGCTGTAACTTTGGAGATTTTATTTATCATTGTTTAGTATTTATTTTTTATAAATTAGGCAAATGTGTTCGTTCTCTAGCAACTCAGTTATAGGAATAAATTGCTATCTTAATTCATTTGTATGGAATATATATATTTTTGTCTAGATATATAGCAAATTTGCCATTTTAAAAAAAAAACATAATATCAACGATTGTATTTACACATTTTTGAAACCTGTTTGTAGATGACATCGGGTTGTAGCAACGCAATCCTGTCCATCATCGTATAGAGCTAACACCTTCAGTCTTTCAAGATAGGTGACTCGGGTGAAAATATATAATGGTAGAGTATTAGTCAATTAGCGATCCTTTTATATTTTAAGTCAATTAGTAATATCAAATTCATTTTCAGCAAATTATTCTTTTATATTTTTAGTCAATTAGAATATCATATGCAGTGATATTTTTACCTAATTTTTGTTCAATTTTTAATTGATGATGTATAATATTATTATTGAAATATTTACGTTACATTTTTAATTTATCTTTAATATTGTTTAAAATATGCATTTACTATTCATGATGTAGAATTATTATTGAAATATTTCCGTCATATTTTAGTTTCCGTTCCATTTTTAATTAAAATGCAATGATCTAACCATTTATTTTTTTTCATATTAATCAATTATGGATCATTTTTTATTTGCAGCCAACTATTAGTATTCATTTCTTTTTATATTTTCAGTCAATTTGTAATGTCATATTCATTTTCAGCCAATTATTATTTTTTTTAAAATTTTCATTCAATTAGTCAATTAGAATATTAGATGCAGTGATATTTTTACCTAATTTTCGTTCCATTTATAATTGATGATGTAGAATATTATTATTGAAATACTCCAGTTTCATTTTTAATTTACCTTTACTATTGTTTAAAATATGCATTTACTATTGATGATGTAGAATATTATTATTTAAATATTTCCTTTTCATTTTTAATTTACTTTTACTTGATGATGTAGAATATTATTATTAAAATATTTTTGTTCTATTTTTAATTTTCATTTCATTGTTTAAAATTGTGAAAGATTTATGACATAATTGTGATTTGATGTATTATACTGTATAATATTATTGTGAAAAATTAAAATGCAATGATCTTACCATTTCCTTTTCCATTTTAGTCAATTATTAATCATTTTTATTTTCAGTCAATTATTAATATTCATTTCCTTTTCCAATTAACCTAACTTCAATTCTTTTTTTTTTCATTTTTAATTTTCAGTAAATTATTAATATTCATTTCTTTTTCCAATTTACCTAATTTCCATTCCATTTTTAATTGATGATGTAGAATATTATTGTGAAATATTTATGTTCCTTTTTTTTTTTAATTTACCTTTACTATTTACTATTGTTTGGACAGGAAATCAAGTAAATAGGATTTTGTTTTTAATTATAGTATAGATTTGACCGTGAGGTTGTAACATACATATATGATGAATTGGCTATATTATAAATTGTTTAAATTTGTTATATAGGGTATTATGTTACGTGAGAGCATTGAATATGGAAACAATATTACTAAGATTTTAGTTGATTTCTACTTTACATTTGCTTACAAAATAAGTTGTATTAAATTTTTTTTTTGAATGCTACTAGCTCTATTACATTGTAGTATCTGTTCATATACTTTCTCAACCTATTGAAACACAAAGAGCTAATAACGCCCCCACTGAAGCTCGAACTTACAATCTTCCAAATGGAAATCCAACCCGGATACTATTAGACCACATAGTCCTGGTAAGTTCAAACAACCCTGATAAGTTGTATTAAATTAGTTGGTGATAAACATTCAAAAATTCTACATGGTAATACCATACATAATATTACCAATTATGCTATTATGTTATTACCTAATTAATTAATGTCTTTTCTACACGGTATTACAAATATATATAAAAAAATACGGAGAACTTGCAAACAATAATGTTACCAAAAATATTATTATATTAAATAATATAATTAATATATCTGGAAGATCATTTAGGGCACTCTTTGATCCTAAATCAATAAATAATTAGTTATATACATATTTAGCAGTACCAATGTTATTACTAATACTTTATATATATCTGCAGTATTGAACCTTTAGTGTGAGATAAGAAAGAAATAATCAGTTAAATGATGCATTTATTTGGATGCACTAAGACTATTACAGTGCTCCATCACTTTGCAAACATGTACAACTTTGGCTTTATTTTATACTTTAAATTATACTTTGCTTATCCTTTAGATTTTAATATATTATTTTAAGCTAATTTATTTATTAACATTAAAAATACATTTTAAAGTGTGACAATTTATACTAATAAATCATTTTAAAAAGTGGCAAAAGATGATTTTCTAATTTGTTGCCACTGCATCAATTTAAAAAAAAAAATAGTTGCTATTGTTTACCTCGATCATCTCATAAATATCCATAATTTTTATTAGAGGGGTCTAATCAACACATAAACTGAAAAAAAAATGACAATCATAAACAAAATATTTACAAAAATAAATGATAAAAACATTATGATAATGATTAAGACATAATAAATTTACATTTCTAAAAAATCACAAAACTCTGGAAATCCTGATTGAAAAGGAACTGTGTATCAAGAGTTACATATCTTGACATAACTGGCTAATAAAAAAGAACATTCATTACTTGTCCTTATTCAAACACTTTCAAATATAAAGAATAATTAAAACACTTGTGTTTAGATTAACTCTTCGTATCATTCTTAACTCTACACAATTGCATAAGAACAACCATAGGATTTGCAAGGCCAAAATATAAAAATAAATAAATAAATAAATAAATAAATAAGGTTTCAACTCTTGGCCTTGGTATATGTTGATCCCACACTGTAGCTTTCAATTGATTGTCCCTATAAACAAATAAACTACGGAGTACTTAATAAAAAATACATATACAAAATACAATAAAAATAACAAAATTAGATAATTTACTTTGTATCCACGTACAATTAGAAAATCAATAAGTTAAGAAGGCTTCCCTGCAATGATTTTATCCAATGGGGAGTATATCTCAACGACCCTACCAATAACGTCAAACATGTTAATAAAAAAAAATTCGGATGTAGATTAAAATTGTAAATGAAACTTACCAACGAATTGTTTATCATCTACATACTTCAAAGATGAAAATGGTTTCAATAAATAAATTTGTCTAGAAAAGTTGTCATTTTTTTTATATATTATTTAACCAAAGTAGCATAGTGAAATTACAACATAAAATAATGAGTACATTTTTTGAAAATATAGAAATTACTTATCACCATAAAATTTTTAATGGCATAAACTTTTCATTGTTTGAAAAGCTTACAGTACTTACCAACATGTTCCCTTGGTATATGAGCATGAAGTTCCCTAAAATGAAGTAAAAAAGAAAATTGTTATTTTGTAATTTATTTTTGCAGTATAGGAAGCAGCTTTGTAATGCATCTTTTTCCCAATTTCATATACAACACAAGTTATAGAAAAAAGCAAAATCGAAAAAAAATACCATTTGATAGGAAAATGTGCACTCTCTAGATTTTATGAAATCACCCCCTTTTCTCTATGAGACTTCATATAGGTGCACACCAATCACTATCTAATAGCTCTGGAAGTCTTCAATGGAGAAATATCCTAGGCAAGAATAAACATTGGAGTCGTATAAAAAAGCAAAATTGAAAGAAAAAAAAAACCTCTTGATCGTGAAACATGCACACTCTAGATTTTACAGATTCACTCCCCTTTCTCTATGTGACTTCATATAGGTGCGCACCAATTGCAGTCGAATAGCTCTGCAAGTCTTCAATGGAGAAATATCCTGGGCAAGAATAAACATTGAAGCCGTAATAGTTGTATGTTAGTATACATATCTATATCTCTATATATAATTACTCAATATAAAAGAATGAATAAATGAATATAAGGAAAAAAATATTATCAATTAATAGATTTACCAATTAGGTTAATACGTGAATATGGAAACAATATTATCAATTAATAAATTTTAATTAATTTCTATTTTACATTTGGTTACCAAATAAGTTTTACAACAAAAGTTTGGGCGGGAAAATGAAATAGGAGGATTTTACTTTTATATATATATATATATATATATATATATATATATATATAGATATAGATATAGATATAGATTTTAGATTTTAGATTTTAGATTTTAGATTTTAGATTTAGATTTAGATTTAGATTTAGATTTAGATTTAGATTATTTATTATTATTATTATTTTTTTATTCTCGCTACTTTAATTTCTTGTTTTTTTCTTCTTCCCTTTTCTTTCTTTTCGCCCCTTTTCTCTCTTCTTCGTTTATAATAATATTTATTATATTATTATAAAATATATAATTATAATATTATAACTTTAAAATAATAAATCTTTTAATTTATAAATTATTATTACATTAATATCATTTTATTATGTAGGGGCGTGATGATCTTTATACATATTCATTATTCCTTATAATTCCAAACCTAACCAAATAATGAAAATCAATATTCGAGTAATTTTATTTTCCACCAACAAAATAATGAATCAATCTTCAAAATAAAAGTGTGTTTGGTTCGCACATGGAAATCGGAATTGGAATCGGAATGGAAATCAAATACTTGATAATGGTATGGGTTTTAGTAAAAGTATTTTGTATGCTTGGTAGTAGGGTGGAATTGAATTTATTACTAATATTGATGTTTGGTTATGTATGACCCTATAATGCGAATAAAGCTTTTTAAAATACAAAAACAAAAAATAAAGGCAATTGATCCTAATATAATGACATCTAATGCACCAATATGAACCAAAAAAAAAAATCAAAACAAAAATCTAAAAGGACTAATCCAAACTTAAAATCATATTACCAAAAGATGGAATGATACCTTCTTAAATTAGGGAATGGGGTTTTGAATTGAAGGGATAATCAAATCTCAAAGTTGGGTTTTAAAAAGTTGTCAATCAAACACTAACTATGATTTTGATTCTCATACCTAATTTGTATACCCATGGGCCAACCCGGGTTCAATTTCCACAAGTGACGATTCTCTCCGGGCCAGCTCTCAGCCTCTCGGAACGAACGGGGATTAGTTGGGTGGATCTGAACCGTTATACAGACAGAGAAAGACCCGGACCACCTCGTGGTTTACACCTAAAAAAAACCCATGGGCCAAACACAACCTAAATTTATTCAATAAAATTTAAATTACATTCTTCAATTATTTTTTGCAAACCAAACCGATTGCTAAATACAATCTTTTATTAAACTCTAACATCTATTATACTAATAAGAGCCCAAGAGAGTTAGGCCTGGTAGAAAAAATGGAGGTCAAATTTTTTAATCAAATGAATGGCTTAAATTGATCAGATTTTAATTTTTTCTCCAGATTTTCTAATTTATCCTTAATGAATATGATTATCCGTTAACTTTTCGGTTAAAAATTATCTTTTTCGTTAATTTATGTTAGTTCACCGTTAACTTACTCATTGATTTCAATAAGAAAGGTCTTAAGTTAGAACCTCTTCCCAAGCAAAGTTGGCTTAATTAGTACTCTATTTTACTCTTATTAAATTAAATAATAATTTAGTAGCTACAACAAAAAATAATACATATGCATTTCTCTAATTTAGAATTATGTGTCTACTGAATAATTTTTTTTTTTTTTTGAATAAAGACATTGTAGTCTACAATGTGTTTATTCAAAAAAAAATAAAAATTCATTATCAATAAATTAAATAAGAGAAATAATTTCATTAGTTATTTTGTATTCATTTTTCTCCAATATAAAAATTCTTAACATTCAAATTCATCAATTGATTATATTCGCTGCATCTACTATATATCTACTATACTAATAAGGGCTCAAGCAGGGACGGAGCCAAAGGGGGGCAGCTGCCCCCCTCACCCCACCCCTACCCCATATATAATCTTTGTATGTATATATGTATATATAGTATTGGTTTTAGTATTAGTATAAAACAATTAGCAATTGATAATATATAAGGAGTTAGGTTAGTTGGTAAGGCATGTGATTGTTAATGTAACACCCCAGATTTTCAAGACTTTTTAAAACTTATAATAAAGGTAGAATCTCATTAAATCCCAAGAAATAAATACAAGCGTACGGGGTGCTATGCCACACCTGGGCTAGAGAACCCAAGTGCACAGGCTAACTAACTAATATCCTCAAAGCGTAATTACGTAAACGTGGCACGCAGGCCAAAAGGGAAAACTATCTACTTCTATACTCCAAGTTCTAGCGCGCTCCAGTGACTTAATTTTCTGTGCCTGAAAGCCAAATATATCTGTTCAGCGAGAGATGCTGGTAACCCACTCCAACGCGTTGAAATACAATACATATAGAGATATATATAGATATACGAAAACCATTTTGAGCATGATGATATATCCTACGAACTCTAGCTTTAAAACCGGGAATGGCTTGACAGTAAGGCCAGACACAAGCAACAGTTATAACGAGCATATGCAGTTCACAACAGATAAGGCAGATAAGGCAAAGCATAAACAATGATCATAACCCAACTTGAACAATCCCCAATATAAATCCCATAGTCACATCCCCCAAGACACTCGTAATCACAACTTGTCCATGTCACAACACATAACACACTTTGTTGGCGCCACAGGACCAATCGCATGCCCATACATGAGGGTCAGCGCATATAGCTCTGACACGGCCCCGCAGCACCCTGCCCCGTATCGCAACACGGAGGGGTCGATCGCAACCGACCGATGAACCGTAGCTCATCATAGTGTTTGATCGCAACCAAACAGTGGACCGCAGCCCAAGAGAATGTCATCTGACCGCAGCCAGGAAAAAGGACGAACCGCAGCTCGTATAGAAACGTTTGATCGCAACCAAACGGTGGACCGCAGCCCAAGAGTATCAATCTGACCGCAGCCAGCTTCTAAACCGCAGCTCAGGATAACCAATCCGATCGCAACCGAATTGGGGTAACACACACATAACACATAGCAAGCACATGCAACCCACATTACACATTAGGAAGGGGGAGAAAACGTATAACAAAACCTATGCGTGATCCATCACTTACTAAGAATAGTCCTAAGGGGTTCATACTTCTTCCACCTAGGTCAACGGGATACCAATTCAACTAGCATGCAATATAATAGACTCATAAACCTACGAACGGTACCCGAAACATCAAACTAGACATAGGCACGATAAACAGAGTCCGTTGGGACACCACGGGGAACGGGGAACATCAAACGGGGAAGCCAGGATCCCGGGTGGGAGGAATTTCCAGCGGGTAGCCGGTGGGTGGGGGCCACCCGCCGGCTGCCCGCCGGAGAATACTGTTCCGGGCAGCGGGTCGCCGGCGGGCAGCTGCCCGCCCGCCGGCCACCCGCTGCCGGGCGGTGTTTCACGGTCGTGGGTAGGTGGCGGGTCCCCTACCCCCCCACCTACCCCCCACTGACTCTTTTCACAGACTTTACGCCCCGGGAACCGTTGTGGAACCCGAAACCATGCTTAGACACTTTACAACGCAATTAACGACAACACGTAGACAATTAATGAATCAAATACAAGAAACGAACGGCACATAACCTATCATGCTTTTCTAAATATAATCAACACCCAAACATGCGATTTCCCCACCCGATAATCCAAGAATAAGATCATACGATACAACCTAGGGTTCTAATCACTTTTATATCAACAAGAATACGGTTCGTCTTCTAATTGCAAGATTCGGTAAGAATAACACATAAACATCAAGAGCATCACACAATTATCAAGGACGACACATAATCATCAAGAACTCCATATAATTATCAAGAACACCATAGTTATCAAGAATCTCCCAATATCAAGATCATCAAGATCCCCCATGGGATCATCACATCAATTACCAATAATAATCATCATAACTCGCCAATATACAATAATATGGGGAAACCCTAAGGGGGAATTATAACTATGAAAATAGGTTTTGTTGAGACATGGGTTACCTCTTAGCCTTAATTAATTCCTTGGCTATGAAGGGTCTTGCTTTAAGCTTTCTTGATTTCTTCTAAGGGGATTCTTGGAGCTCTTTTGGGGTGGTGGGCGTTAATCTTGTGGGGAGGGTTCTAGGTGCCTCTTAAGTCCCCTATTTATATATTTAGGTGTCCTAGTTAGGAACTAATATTATGGGCTTGCTAGTTCTATTTCTTTTGGGACTAAGGATTGGGTTTAGGGATAAGGGTCCATGGTCCATAGTGGACCATATTAATTAAAGAGGATCCTAATCATAATCTGAATAGTAAAAGGCCTACTTCCTTTATTCCTAACAGGCTTAAGATTCTTATTCGGGCAAGGGTCCACGGTTCAT